ATATACGTAGTTAGTATCTTTTTTTTTTCCAAAATAATTATCGTTATATACATAAACCTGTACCACTACAACCCATGAAGGGTCTGGGGTTCAGTACTATTTAGGGAAAGTACTGTTTCTAGGTCAACGGTTGTGCAAGGAGGTGATTTGACCGAGATCACGCTCAACCGCCAGGTTTTCCCCCTTAATTAATTATTTAATTAAAGGTACCCACTTTATAGAGGCTGGGTGTGCCCCAGGAGGGACTTCTGACCCAAGGTCGCCCCCCACGGCCAATGAAACAGATAAATAAATTTTCTGCCATGAGCCGGGGTTCGAACTCGGGACCTTTGCATTGGAAGCTCAGTGCCCTACCACTGAGCTACCCCGCTCCCCTATCGTTATATACATGAAAAAAAAAAAATTCGGGCTGAAGCCTCCCCCCCCCCAAAAAAAAAAATTAAATCCTGGATCCGCTAGTGGCTTTAGGTAAAGAACCGTTTACTTTTTTTATCTAGTTTTTATAATAAAATTTTATTTTTAGTCTTTTGTGTTATGTAACTGAAGTAGTTAACTATACCATTACTTATTTAAAGTACAATTCCTTGGAACATGCAATTACTTTTAAAAAAATAATATTTATATATTAAAAACAAAAAATACGTTAAATAATTTAACCTTTAAAAAAAAAACTTACATTTGTACGACTTCAAAACGATCAGTTAGGTTTTAGTTAGTTACATGTTATGTCTCTTTATGGCTAATTGAAGGTTAAGAATGTCTTATAAGAGTTGATCGAGGTTTATCTTGATGGTGGGATCATTACTTCAGTTAACTGCAAGTGCGAACTAGGATTATATCATGTTTTGCGACAATTATAGTTTTTTTATTATATTTTTATTGTTGTTTTTTCAATAGCATATTTTTTAACTTTCGCTTACTCGCATATGAAATACATAGTGAGAGAAAAAAAAGTGCTGCGATAGTTAAAAAATTCTAATCCGGTCAAAAATAATTTAAAAAATCTGTTAAAATATTCAATAGAAATTCTCCAAATGAGTTCAAATAACCAAGTCCGTGTTTGTGTATATGAAGCTCGGAGTTTCTTGCGAAATATTATTTTAAGTAAAACATATTTGTTTCTGATTTTTTATTATTTTGACCATTTGTTGGTCAATAAAATAAATGAATTTTAAAATTATGGTATTTATTACCTGAAATAATGTTTAAAAACTGTTCACATTTATAGGAGGGGGAAGGGGATAAAACGATGGGCGAAAAAATTATGCTTGACCTCCTTGTAAAAATTTTTATTTTTAGTAATAAAGGAATTGTATTTTGTAAATACCTTTTATGATATATATATATATATATTATTACAGCGTATAATCAACAAACTTTTCCATCCATCCAATTAATTAACACGTAATAGGAACAGCGAACAAGTCGATTTTCAATAATGAAAGCTGTGAAAAAAACATTCAACTTATTTTTACGTGGAACAAAAATTTCAAAATGGAAAAGGTTAGATAATTACAATATTTTGATCTATAGTTTGCGTTTGGATTTACATTAAAATCACAATTTACAACCGAAATATCATTCATTAAAAAAAAAAAAGATACAATTTTTGTTTTTAGTGTCAATTTAAGAGATGTAAAAGATAGAATCTAGAGTCCAGTATGTTGTAAATTACCAACTGTAAAAAAAAAAATTAAAAATATCTTGTTTAAATTATAGTTCTTCTTAACTTTCAGTTCCTGTAGAGCTTCGTACGCTAAGCAGATACTGAAATACCTACAGTATTTTTTTCTTAAATTTTTTTGTTCTCCGGGAAAACTATAAATCTCCATTTTGCAAAAAATATGAAAACTTCTATTCCTATGAAGACTATCTTACAAACTATTTTTAAGTGCATTTATATTATTTCAATTTTAATACTACAAGAATCTTACTAACCGATTATTTAAAAACAATATATATATACAGGGTGTCCGGTAAGTAGAGGGAAATTTTTAAGTGGCAGATAATATGCATCAACAGCTACAAAAAAGTTTATAAAAACAGTTACCCGATTTCCTGCAGAAAAGTAGGAAATTCAAATTTTGTTTTATCTGGGTAGTCACTTTTTTTCTTGAATAGGAAGCGATAACTAAAAAAATACTTAATTTAAGTAATTATCAATTGTGTAAAAATAAACTAGACAAAATTTACTTTAAATTAAAATAGAGTTTGACATTGTTAACGATTTAAAGAGGTCTTTTGAGCGGCTAAAGTAATTTAAGTTCCGTTCTTAAAAAATCATAAATTATCGGCGATTCTATTTTATCATTCTCCAACCATACTACAGATACCCCACTTTCAGAAAAACTTCCTCATTTCACAACCTTTAAGTCCATACTAATGGATTTAAGGTTTATTGGGAAAAAACTTGATATTCACCTCAAGTTGTGTACAAAAATGACGTAATTTTAAAACTTTTTCACCTAAAAGTACCCGTGTTTTCATACAAAATCATTACATTGAATTACTGCAAAGCTTTAATTTTTCTTTTCGGTGCCGTAGGATGTACAATATTAGATATAAATTCATAAACATACTTTTTATTTCTAAAAATAATGATTATTCAATTATATATATATATATATATATATATATATATATATATATATATATATATATATATATATATATATATATTTAATTAAGTTTATATTCAATTTATTCAGTGAAATATGATTAGTATTATGTACAGATATAAGTTCAGGTTAGTATGATAGATATTGTTTTTTCACGATCCATTGAAAATGAGCTGTGTTGAGAAAAGTTCGATAGCTCCGTTACTCCGTAACAGAAAAAACAGTGCTAATAACACGAGTTATTAACAGTTTTTAAAGATTTGCTCTGAAAAATAGCATTAACGTTTACTAATAACAATGTTACAGATAACATTTCGGCACATAAACCCAGCCACACACGTACAGACGTCCATTAGAGCTCAAATTAAAAATAGCACTTTGAAGTGGTTTTCTACGTATCCTATCTTCTACGTGGGATTAGCTATCTCTATGAGAACTGACAAAATAATGTCATCCAGTAATCTCTCCCTTTAAAAAAAAAAAAGTTTATTTGAAAAACTGCACCTAAGAAACTATTTAACGTACATAACTCAGACATTACAAAATGTAGTCTACTTTAAAAAATATGCTTATAACCTTTTTTTGGAGCGTAGTTGGTAGTTACAAGATATTTGGCACTAGCAAATGGAAGTCACAGTCACCGATTTGTTTTTGGAGGAGGTGATTCTAGATCCAAAAATATTGGTCACATCCATCATTCATTCTAATGGGTCTCAGGAGCCCAGAAAAATAAATAAAAATTCTTTAAATGATGTTTTTACATCATTTTTACTCTTATTATTTTGCATTAACAAAAAACATATGCACATGTTTTTTTAAATGTTTTTTTAGTAAGTTAAAGCCACTGAAAAGTAAAAAAAAAAATCTACTGGCTTAAAGTAAAGTATATAAAAAAAATATTTAAACATAAAACAAGTTCATAATTGTTTTCAGCACTCCAATAAAAAAAAATTTTTTTAAATGTTTATAAGCCAACCAATATTTTGACTAACATTTGATCGTATTTTTTTCCAAGAATCGTTAAAATATTTCAGGGTTATGAGGGAACTCTCTCACTATGAGTGAATCTCTTTTCATATTTTCCAAGATTAAGCGTGTATACTTTGACTACATTCAAATGATTTAGTATTGGAAATATAAATTTTTCCTCTCTCTGTTGATAACAATTGAGTAAACATCTGCTTGATTTGAAGGTAAAAATATAAAATAAAACAATAAAAATTTATATTTTTTTTAATTCAAATTCAAATTGATCTAGTTGGGAAAGTCTTGTTCAATTTGACAAATTTGATGAAAAAGGAGTGCATATACCCCTTCTCTCCCCTTTCAAGATGTCCATGTGAAATCATAAACTCTTTTCATGTTTTACGTGAAATAGATAATTATAATGATAGATATTTGGAAGAAAACATTAGATATCAACTAAATAAAGCAATTTTTATTCAATAAAGAAAATCATATATATTATCAAATATATTATGACTTTTATCTGCCTGCTCTCAACAACTTTTTAATTTGTCTTTTTCTATAATTGAAGTGATATGTTTAAACTTCTATTGTGTGGATGAAAAAGTGGTAAGTAAAGAGCCCTGCGAGTCAATGGGCCTTGAGATTTAAAATATTTTGAAAATGATCTAAAAAAAGTTTTAAACATCCTCTGTAAAACAACAGATAAAATCTAAATAAAAAACGTTAAATTTAGGCTTCTTAGTTAAAACTTTTTTTAAAAAAGGCTTCAAAATTCTCAGCACTTAAGACCCCCTACTTGTCTGGATCTGGCCCTACTCTATTAGCCATTGATTCAAACTATCAATAATTAGTGAAAAAGAAGACATGAAATTTGAAATGAAAGCTTTCAGTCATTTTTGTGCTTATTCCAATTTACTTTGTATCATAGAACATTATTGTTCCAGAAGAAAGAATACAATTTATTCTAGATCCCATTGCAGGACTGGCTAACTTCACTTTTCCTAAATAATAAATAATAATAATAAAAGTTTAATCTAAATTTATTGAAACAAATTATCTTATAGTTTTTCTTCTTAAATCATGTTTAAGGAAGAATTTTGCTGTCTTACTATTTTATATATATATACATATATATGTTTATATAAAATCATATTTTCCTAGAGTATATAAAGTTATTATCTAAAAAAACATATTTAGTTGGTAGCACCAGAATAATTAAGTAGAAAGCTTTAGAAAGGTATCCTATAAAGCTGAGGAACATGGAAAGTCTGCTTATTTCTGTTCAAGCAAGATATAATTTAAATGTGTTATTATTTTTTACTTCCCTTCAAATTCATGGAGAACTTGATATTTCATTTATAAAAATATATTATTCCTGTGTTGACTAATGTAACTAACTAATTTCTACTATTGTTACAGAAATGCAAAGATATGCCAGGTGTCCAAAGGTCCCATTCCTTGAGGACTGACTACAGCCCTGTCACTCTCAGACCAAAAGTTTCTTTTAATAAAGCTGTGCACATTAAACGAATAAGTAAGTACTATAAATGTTTTTTATAAAATAAAAACAAAAAAACCATGCACGCATGCTCTATAATACTTCATGCACATTAAACGAATAAGTACTATAGATATTTGATTTAAAAAAACAAAAAAAAAATGTATGTATTTATACTAATGTTTACTTATATGTAATTAGATGCTTATACATATTATATTAATATTTTTTCTTTTAAAGTAATGAATTGGGAGTTATTATAAGAATAACTATAGAAACTATTAAATATGTATAGAATCTTTTTTTATTCATTACAGGAAGTATGAATTTTTAAAATGAATGTATGAATATGTTATTTTTGATAAGACAAATGAAACAAATAATTTTCGCTTGTTTCCATTAATTTATTGTTACTGGATATAAGTTTTGAGTTTAAATTGAAGTGATTTATTTTTTGACTGATAATTATTTAATCATGCAGAGGTAAACTAATTTTGATAAAAATTAAATGTTTATATTTTTTTCTGAAATAAAACAAAACCTAATTAAAGACATAAATAACTGGGTATTATTATATTCTTTAATGGTATGACATCAGTCAACCACCATGGAAAGAAAGTGTAGATATCTGAATTATATTTAATAAATTATGTATAGTCATAATCCTTGGATTATCAACCCCAAAACTTAACCGAAAAGTAGGATTTCTTCCCTGATAGGAAGATTAGCTTTTATAACAGGATGAGTATGATGGTTTCTATCCATTTTTTCATGTTAATAGGAGTGCCTCTATCTTGTGATCTATTAACCATACTTCATTAATCAGACAGGAGCGACAGAATAGTTAATTTAAGTATCCTTACTATTTCTTAGGACTCATTTGTTTTACACACAGAGCTACCATACTCTCCTATTAGCTGCAACTGTTTATCAATTTAAAAAAAAAAAATGTTGTTGATATATATTTGTTTAGTATGAATAATTTTGGTGAATTTAAATCAAAATATAATTTATTTAATTTCTATTTCTTATAATAATAACAAAAGGCTTATTGAGTGCTAAGTTCATTGATGTTAACACCTAGAGTCATTGCTTTCACATCTACCTCCAGTTTATCTCACTATTTATCCATCTACATGGCGCTAGAACCCTGAATGGGTCTTGCCCTCCAAAGCTTCTGCCATTGGGCTATGTCCTGTGTTGGCACCCTCCAGTTGATCCCTAGAAGGTTTCTTACATCTACTGCCACTCTGTCAGCTCACCTTAACCTTGGTCTTCCAGCTCTTAAGGTCCTATGAAGAACTTCTTCAGATACATTCCTCGGGATTTCTTCTTCACTCATCCTAGCCAAGTGACCAGCCCAACTGAGGTTTAGATATTTCTTTTACTTTACTCTATTAAAATCCAAATTCTTAAAATTGAGACAAACACATTTCTTTCACGCAATACGTTATATTTTAATACCTTATTTTAAGGCCTTGTTCTTCCAAGTAGTAAGCGACCATGTTTTGCATTTGTATAAATTGTGAATGATGATACTTTTCAGCTCCTAGAAAGTAGATACAAGCTGGAAAATTTTAAAACTGAGAAATACTACTAACTACATAGTTTTATCCATATTTATTTCAAAACCTAATTCTTAACTAACTTTCTTCAATCTTATTGTTTTAGCTCTTATTTTCTGCTTATTCACCTTGATTTAACTAATTAATTTCTCCTTATTTGCCTAAGTATAAAAATTCATGAACACATCTTAAACAAGTATTTTACGACCCACTATTAAAGTTTTCTCCATACGAATTACCTTTCTTATAGCCTATTTCAGTGCTTAATTGAACAAATGAATTCTCCCTTTTTATCATACTAAATAAGAATTAGCAAGTTTTTTCTTAGGAATTAAATCTTTTCTATTTAAGGTAGAAAGGAAAGACTGCCGCAAGTTCCAGAAGACGAAGACAGTCCTGTTTACTCTGAGAAAATTCCCATGGCTGCGAATGGTGTCAAAGGCTCTTCGAAATTCTCTACTCTCCCCTCAAGAAGTGCCAGAAATGGTAGGTTATTTCATCATACTTTCTATCACACTTTTATTATACCATTGTTTTCTATGATAACTTTTTCATTATTCATGAGGAATAACTCCAGCAGTATATCCCTTAGTATATGGTTGATTTTTAGAATTATGGAAAAACACAAATTTTAAGCTTTATAAACCAAAAATATATAGTGCACAGAATCGTCTTAAATTTGTATCTATAATTAAAGTAATATTCTTAAAGTTTATTAACTTTTTAAAACAATTATTTCTACTGATAGTAGGATGGTAACTGAACGTTTTGAGATGCATCGCACAAGATTTTTTAAAGCTTTGATTACAAAAAATGTCAGACATTATTTAAAATAAATATTTGTAATTTTATTATATACTTTTTTAACATTTTTATTGCAATTAAAGGTGTAAAAAAAACTTCTCCTGGCTCTGAGGCTCCACCAGCATCTGAACGTTTGTCTAGGATGATTCGTCATGATGTTAAACCAGAGGAACCACCTAAAGTGGAACGTCCAAAAAAGAAAACACTTGGAGAGCGAATGAAAGGTATATTTGGGAAGAAGAAATCAGAAGAAGATGAACTTAAAGCTAGATATACTGAATTCAAGGGACGAAACAGTTCATCTGATGCTACAGACAATGTAAGATCAGATTTATTTTATTGAATTTAAAATTCCCATTTATTTATTTTGAAGTATTAATGTATCTAATTAGTTTTTTATAGTGTTATCTGCTCAAACATAGACTTATAAATCAGATATACCATTTGAATAAATTTATTTAAAATTAAGAAATACCCATAGAAGTTTATTATTAAAAAATATATGAACAAATTGTTTATTCTAATAGCTGGTTTGAGTATGATTGCTCCTTCAGTATGTCAATATTGATCATCCATCAATTTATTCGATAGTTACCAATTACTATCAATTGTGTGATATTTTAATTGATATCTTCATAATAGAGAAAGATAACTTCTTAAAATACCACTTAGTTTATCATGATTACAATATATTAATGATTCTCAAAACCAAGATAATTATAATGTTTTTTTGTTCACTTCTAATTCAAGTAATTCTCGAAATTAGACATAGCATTTACTTAAAATACTGTCTTTGCTCAATACAAATCATAGAAATGAATTAATATAGATAGTTTTTCTGTCATAACGTTTTCAATAGAGAAAAACAAATATATATTTGGTTATTATATTTGTATAATGGAGCTTTTATGAAGTTATTTCATGCTTTATGTAAATTTTAGTGAATTATGTTCTGCAGTAAATAGTTATAATTTGTTGTAGTTTTCAGTTAATTATTTAAGAAAATTCAGCTCATTTCTCATTGATTTTATTAACAGGAGGCTGAAAACTACTCAGGAAAAAGAAGGGGTAGCGCTCCAGAGACAAGAACTTCTTGGTTTAGATCCCTTGAACGATTGAAAAAGGTAATTATGGAATTATTACTCTACTTCCTGAAAAATAAACCCAGAATAATTTGTCTAGCTCAGTGAAGATAGGGTGGGGATTTTTTTTTTTTTGTCCTCCTCTTCCTCGCCCTTTAGGCTATTTTGGGATTATCCCGAGCTATGGAAGAAGGTGGGGAATTAATGCCAGAGTTGAAATCCTCTCCAGCACAGGAACCAGCTTTTGTAATTTTTTATCATATTATTTCTAGTCTATCAGGTACATGTTAACCCGCTTAGCCAAGATGGGGTGGATTATAAACATAATCCCTTCATAATAATAATAGAATTACAATACTATTTCTATTAAAAAATGAAGGTAGTAAACCTTTCTCTCCCCTCCCAAAAAAAAGAAAAACATTGGTACCAGAAATTTAAAATGGTATCAGTATACATCAGTGAATAAATAAAAAAACTATTCCTTGTATTTGGTAATCAGAGAATTAAAAGAAAATAGTATCATAAAACAGTCAAAAAGTTTTAATTTCCTAGTTATTTGAAAACATTTATTTTCCTATTTAGATAAATATTTATTTATGTTGACCTGTTTGCTACCAGTGACTATACATAAAGGCCACAGTATATGGCTGGTGCCATCATTTGTTGCCAAGATTCCTCTTCCTTAATGTACCAGTCATCTATTGTTCATTGCCCCTTAAGAAAAATCTAGGTTCATTTTTACTTACATTAAGATATGATTAAGATATATTTCCAAGCTCTGTTGTTTGTAGGTTTTGAACTGAATCTGTGTTTTATCAAGTTGGGCTTTACTACTTGTAATTGTGTTATTATTTGGTTATATATCTTTGAGGGAAGGCCCCATACAAATATAGATGACCTTAACTCAACATGATAAAGAACAATTTACAAATATTAAAAAAAGTAAAAGGGAATCTAAATAAATAAAAATAATGCTAATTACTAATATAGTTGTAAATAAGTATTTACATTGTTAAGTGGAAATTATAGATAATAATACACTAAAGAAATACAATTCAGCTTTATGTTATAATAATAAATCAACATAATAATTAATGATAAACTAATGTCCAAAAGACTATGTAAATAAATCATAAAATAAAGCTAAATATCATTTAAATTAAAAATAAGTATTTAAAGTCTAAAATAATTGTAGATATATGGACAACTTTTTTTTTTGTTTATGGTGTAATGTATATCACAGTATAATTTTAAAAAGACTATGTGATGTAGCTGCATCTGAAACTAGATATCTGTGTTTAAACTATTCTTTCAAGTGGTTGAAAGCACAGGCGGATCTACGGGGGGGGGGGGGAGGCTTTCGGGCTGAAGCCCCCCCCTCCCCCCAAATGGTAAAATATAACCATGTTTTATTGAAAAAAATATTAAAAACTATCTCTTAAACTATTATTGTTCGTGTAATTACATTTAATAGCACTTCAAGAATCACTAAGACACAATGTCATATGGGTAGTTAGTTTCTTTTTTTATTTTTTTTCAAATTAATTATTGTTATATATATTAAAAAAAATCCTTTGGGCTGAAACCTTCCCCCCAAAATTAAATTCTGGATCCGCTATTGGTTGAAAGGATTGAAATTTTGCAGATACAGACTTAAATTTATGGAAATTCTGCTTTCATAAAAAATATGTTTTTTATGTTAGATATGATTTTTTAAATATTATAATTATTTATTTATTTATTCTTCCCTCCCTTGCCTTTCCGCTACATGTGATTTTGCAGGGATGGTATATCACAATGTGTATGTCATTCCTGCTATTAAACGGCATGTACTTGACCGATTTTGTTTTGTTTTTCAAATCTCTTCTTTTTCCAACTATATTAGTTTGGTGGCCTTCCATTTGCAGGTCTTCTTTTTCCCAGATTAAAGTGTGAGGGCCCCATAGCAGTTTTCCACCCGCACACAAAATCTTTGTAATACGGGTAGTTCTGCTCTGTCACTAACTGGGGAAATTCATATTCCGTGAGGCTATAGACACCAATTTTTTTCATCATTCTGTCCCTTAGTCCATCAAAGGCAGTGCACTTGACTATGACATGCTCATCAGTGTAAGGTACTGCGCAAGTGGCGCATAGAGAATCTATGTCTTTTCCAAAACTATGCAACTTAGCGCGGAAACCCCATGCCCTGTAAGGAATTGAGAGACCCAGTAATCCAGGAGAACCCGCTTCGCATCCAAGCAACTTTGGACGGTGGGGAAATATTTTCTTAAAGTTGCTCCTTTCGAGGTAGCTACCCACCGCCGATTCCATTCATCTGTGGTATTACATTAATAAATGTTATAATTAATATAATACCATTAATAATTATAATTAATAAATATTATAATATTAATATAATACCATTAATAATTATAATTAATAAATATTATAATATTAATAAGTATAAATATTATAATTATTGTTTTCAAACAAAATTATTGTTTTATAAGATATTAGTTGATAATTCAATTCATATCTGCTAACAAACTTAAAAATCTAGGATGTTTGGTTAAGTTTATTGAATGAATGATTATTTGCAGAATGAGCTACCGCCTACAACTAGAGATATTCATAGAAAAGAAAGATACTTTGGTGAGTCTGACAGAGAGACTGCAAGTCGTAGGAGACATAATGAATCTAGTGCTGAAAGTGCAACTGAAGTCGATGGAATGGGACCTAGGACACCTTCTTTAGTCTATCTTCATACAGCAGCTGGTATTAATATCAATTCAGTTCCATTATTATGTTTCATACTGTTCATAAATGCTTTCTCTGTTATATAATATGTCTATAATTTAATCCCAACAATAAAAACATCTTTTGGCCTTGGAAAAAGATACTATCAGTTTTAAATGTTTAAAATTTTTGTTTGTTTCATTATAAATTAATTTTGAAGTTATAGAGAGCTTAATATTTTTTTTTATAATCAATAAAGGTAATAATTTTATATAATTAATTTATAAATTCTATCTAGAAAGTTCATAAGTAAATCCTCATACATGGTAGTAGAGAATTCATACCTCTTTTCCTTCTTTGATTTATCTTAGGCCCACCAGCCTATAGATAGGTATGAAATGTGACTGTGGCTATAAATTGGATCTCTGTAGTTGTTCATTTTATGAATATTTGTAAAATTTGTCACTTCTATCATTCAATCATTGTTGCACATTTTTTTTGCATCTAGTGTACATCAAATGTAAGTGAACAAATTCAGAGATGGGTAGCTTGTTTGATGATATTTTTATAAATCCTGTCTCTAAAACTTGTCTTATATAATTATGATGTGTATCAATATGTTTATTTGTTTTTTTTAGAACAGTGAACAGAAGTTTTAGCAAATCTATGAGCTACATATTTTTATTTGCTTCTAAACCAAGCGTGGAGCATTAAGATATATTCCCTTTTAACATCTGAATGAATGAGTTCTAGTTTAACAAAATAGATGGTCCTAAAAATTTGAAGAGATGTAAAAAACTTTTATTAGTGGAGAAATTTCCCCAACCATTACTATCATTGCATGGGGGTTTATTGCTTTTTTTAGTTGTTTTTTTTTTTAATATTCATAGAACTCCTTTTTCTAGTTCTCCTATGATTTTCATTCAAATTATTACTAAATTCAGTTTCAAGTTCAAAATATTGTGAGATACATGAGTAACCCAATTAATAAAAAAAATAGATATCTCACAATTATTACATTTTCTTTGAACATATATTTTTAATTAATTAAACTTGATTAATGTTATTAATTAATTATATTAATTTTTCAATAAATGAATTTAAATTCAAGGTAAATCTTAATTGTTATTTGTAGGTCTTTTATTTTGCATGAACATCATTTCATAAATAACAATAACTGTAATCCAGGACGGTTATAGCCACCTATTTCAAATTAATTCTGCTCATAATAAATCTTCTTAGAAAACATTTACCTAAATCAATCTTTCTGATGTTTTCCAGAAAGCATGAATATGAGAAAAACATACTAATAAAAACATGATAATTCTTACCTCATAATCAAATGGACTATGCGTATTTGTATAGTGGAGCATTCAGTTATTTTAATAAAAATGGAACAAAAAGTCATTCTTCATTTCAATTGATGACAAATGTCTATTTCCAAAATTTTGAAAACAAAAACGAAATTGTTAAAACCTCTATTATATTTTTATCCGACTTTTTATCCGAATTTTATTATTAAAAAAAAAAGTTAATATATTTGACACTTTAGTCAGTTTAAATTTGTTTTTATGTTGTTTAAGTAAGTAAATATTAAAACAATGTTAAACTATCAGGGTTAATTTAAGTTCAAATGCTGAAAAAAAGAATAATAGAGATTATAGTTTGTATAATGCTTCTAATATAGTTATAGTTTCCAAAATGCTTCTAATAGTATTACATAAGTAAGAACCAATTATTTCAGGAATGAGTTTTCAATTGAACTTTATGGAATTGAAATCTTTGTGGTAATTAAAATCTTTAACCGGATTCATGCCTTTGACATCCCACCACAGACTTATGGCCATATTTTCCACTTATGCTGCATTAACTAAAAAAAAAAAATGGATAACAAATTACTTTATTGGTTCGTACTTTGCTGCTAGTGTATTTAAATCAGATAGTTCTAAATCGTTTTAGTAGCTGAAATTACTATATTTAACAATTTTGATTCTCAAAGCTTCAGGCTGATTGGTAATATCATTTCGATTTTGGCTTTTGATCTTGCAAAATCAGGTGGACATTTTTCAATCTTTTAAGAAAACTATAAACTATATTCCATAGGACTAATTGATAAAATGTTGTCTAACCTTAAACCATTTTCTTTGACTTCCCAGTTCTAGGCAATTATTTCTTCTGTTGATTGATTGAGCTTCTGCTTAGTTCCCTTTTCATACTCCAGGCATCATTTTTTACAATGATTGCTTTAACTCTAATTCTTTAAGTGTCAAAGTTATCACATTCTAAGTTATCCTTTAATGTTCTAAAGTAATTTAAAGTTTAAAAAAAAACAGTCGATTTTTTTCCATCAATTTATTAATAGTTTGCGATTGACATAAACCACAGTATAGTATTTCTGATTTATTAACTTGAAATATATTCTTTGTACATTTTAGTTCCTTATTACAATTAGTTTTGAAATAATGGGTTATCTACTAACAAGTTTTTGTAGTCTAAACCATTTCTTATGACTATCATCAGAATACAGGGGTTGAAACTTTTTAAAAAGTTCCTTTTTAACATTTTCTGTGAATCTGTAGGGAAAAAAGTTGTTAGATTACAAGTTCAACAGATTTTTTTTTTTTTTAGTTAAAGTTCTATATTCATGGTGAAAATCTAACTATTATTTATTTAAGTTCTTTAAAAAAAATCTGTTGAATGAGATATAAACAGTAATTGGGCTTAGATTAGAGTTATAATTTGTTGGTTCGACTTTTTAGCGAAATTGACAGAATATCTAAATAAAAGTTCTGAAAAATGATTCCTGGAAAAGTAGCTAGGAAAAAAGCTCTCCAAAAGGACTGGAATACTATCCACAATAGAAGTTCCAGTGATATCGAAACATTAAAAATAAAAGTTTTTTCCCGTTTCAAGCCCTGTTAGATGCCTTGATAGTCTAAGCTTCATGAGTTAGCATGCTTGATCACCTAGTTTGTGATTATATGATACTATTCTCTTAAACTTTTTTTTCTAGTTGGTGATATCCCTCATCGAAGATCTGAGACTCCTACAAAAAGGTTATCAAGGTCAGTATCAGTGCTTGCTCCATGGGCTCCAAGAATGAGGCCTCCTAGAGCAACAAGATCCAGAGCAACTCAAACAGACTTTTCGCAAACCCATGAAGAGAAGCGGCCATCATCCAAGACCAGGGTTATAGAAGTAGAAAGAGAGCCCTCTACAGTTAGACAGACTTCAAGAAGCTTGCCAAAGCTTGTTTTTACTGGTATGTTGGATTACTATGTTACCTTTTAAAAGTAAGAAAAAAGGTGTATATAGGCATTTCTATAACATACTCTGGTTCTGAGACTTGATATTGATTAAAGAGGCACCATTAAAACTCCTTTATTATTTTAATTGTAATATAAATTATATTTTGAAAAGTTTTTTTTTTTTATTAATTGAAAATTAATACATTCTGCCACATTGGAGGGCACTAATATTAGGGCTACATTAACCATTCACACAATATGTACATACAAATGATAACTAAAATAGAGATAATAAAGGAAAAGAAATGTATAAAATAAAATAAGAAAATTAATATGTGCAAAACAAAAATCAAAATAATATTTAGAAACTAAATGGAATTAAAATTGATAAAATACATTCACACCTATATACAATATATACATTCACCCATGGGACTCTAAGTCATGCTTTGTCCCCCAAATGTGGAAGCCAAAGCAAGACTCCAGGAGATCCCAGTGCTTCTCTCCCACTGGTCACTGGTGCTTTGAAAATTAAAATAAGATTCACAAATAACCTGCTCTTATACTCATTAGTTTTAATTAATTTTTATATTTATAGAAAAATGAAAAATGTTCTACATGTTTGTTTTTATCACAAAAACTCTATTATTTATGGTGAATATTTCTCTTTAACTGTAAAAGTTAAATTTAATACATTAGATGAAATATATATTAAAATTTAAAAATTTGAATTAGTCCTGGGTTGAACATTGGTAAATTTCCCTAATGTTCTAAGCCAATAGGCATCATATAAAAAGCCTTGGCATTATTTATGCTTATTCAAGAGAGTATTTTCAAGAATAATAAAAGTAATAAGGAAACACTATCAGTATCATGATAGTAGGAAACGTTTGTATACTTCAAACATTAAACAACTTGTCCTGTAGCAAGTGGTTGTTTAATGTAGTAATTTACTTTAATTTATTATGTTATGAAACCTCCCTGAAATGTATTTAAGGCACAGTTTATGGGTCCACTAGCTTTGACCTTATGTTGCTGCCATTAGGGATAATTTTATATTTTGATCAAATCAAGTTACAACTGAATCCATGAAATTGGCTTTCAAATAAATAAGCGATTTTCAGCTACCATATATAATCCTTAATAAGAAACAATGCAGCACGCACATACTACTCTCATTGTACTCCAGACTACTTTTGAGCTACAATGAGCATTACTTCTTTTCAAATTGGACTAGCACAGAAAGGCATTGTACAAACTAAATTCATTAAGTTACCATTGTTACTTTGACACTGATTATTACCAGATTCAATGTAGCTTTTCAGGCTGAACCCTCCTCCCCTTCCAAAATCAAATTATTTTTATTACATCATTCTATCTTTTTTTCAGATAATAATCTGAGATAAATAAAAGAACAAGTAGAATATGTTTCCTTTTTAAATCGTAACTCATAACAAAAATGGCTTTGTTGAAATTTATAATTAAATTTTATTTCTAGGATCTTCCATGTTACAATGAGGTATCTCTATCCCCAGACCTCTGGTGTTTCTAACATTCCCAATGGAAGGTATGTCACTATATCGAGTACCTATAAGCAATAATCAAGGTTCCTGTACTTTTTGGTGAGAATAGTCAGTGTTTGATTCCCATTCAGACCCTCAGAGGAGGTTGTGAGCAATATTTATTAGTTCCAATTCAGCTGTAGAATCCTTCTATTTGGTTATTACTACTCCTATTAGGGTGGTAAACAGCATCCCTTCCATAAAACACTGATAAATTCAGATTTATGGTCACTGTTGACAGCTTTGATACCTTGCCCACAATTACTACGTTATTATTGTTATCTAAATCAACACAATGACACTCTAAATATTCATATTCTGAACACCAGATACAGAATGGCAAATATTCTGTGGTAGGAATACCCTTAAATAATTGTTCAAAATAAATTTTCATATCATTAATAACAGTCACTAGGATTAGCTCACACATAAAGACTACCTAGGGTGCCACTAGATTTCGGAGGTGTGGAAATTTTGTCATCAAGGATGCCAGAAAAGTTGGATCCCCTTCTAATAGTTATATATGTATTAATTTATTTTATCTTTTATCCATTCGGTTTCCCTGGTTGAAAAATTAAGGTCATCTCTCAATAAAATATTTCCTTTAAATTATCCAATTCATACACTTGATTAAAAACCATTATTGTAGTTAAAATAATTTTTTTTTATAAAGCATATTGGATAAATTATTTTTATCTAATTTATATAATTCAGTTCACCAATTTTGCATGTAATTATTGCTGGTGACCAAAAATGTCAACACATTAATGGATAACTACCAATAATATTTAAAGCTGCATCATGCTACTGAAATATAGTTAATTCAAGGATTTGTCCAACAGACAGATTGTTATAATACTCAATAAAAAAAAAAAAATAATAAAAAAAATCAAGGATTATAACCAGTAGAAATTTCAATCTCAATAGGTAAGACACTGAGCTCCTAACTTTCAACTGTGACAGAAAATGTATTTTATTTTCTCATGCTCTTCAATTCAAATCCTAAAATTTAACACTTGGATCAAGTTTCGAAATTCAAATTGGAACATATTATTTTGAAATAAATTTTGCTTTAAATAAGAATTTAATGAGCAATAATATACCCATCAAAATAACTTCAGCAAAATGAAGTAAATAATTTTTTTGAGAATCTTGTGTGAAACCAACTCATGCAAATTTTCAGCATGTAAATAAGCAATGACATAAATGAAACAACCTATATATTTATATTTATTGTAATAAACATTTTATCTATTCATTTTTATACTTGCATAGAAAGAAATACTTTACAAAAACAATTCTATCTCATCAATTGAGTATGATGACTTACCAATAAATTCTTTTTTAAAATCTCTCTTAATACTTTAATATGTGTCTCGTTGTCAAAAACAGAACACATGCTAGATACATATATTATTAGTTATGAAATCAACAATACAGCTGAATAGTGTAGTTTTATTTGTATTAATTTATTTTTTATTAACTGATACATCATTTTAGGGCCAAGTATTGATGAAACAGCTGGTAGATCTGCTACCTCAACGATCCAGAGGTCTACTGTACATTTACGGAGCAGAAAGTAGATCAGCGCAGTCTCTTCTAACTGCTTCATAGATAAAATAATAGAACATTACTCATATGAAAATAATGGAAAGCTATAAATTCATTGAGAGTGACAAACTTGGAGGCTATCTTTAATGAAAATTTCATATCCTCCTACTTTTTTTAATTTACTAACTGACTTCAAATTATATATTTTTACATTGTGAAATATATTTATAAAAAATAAAAACTTAATTAGCAGGAAAGATTTTTCTAACATGAGAATGGACTAATTAAATAACTAAAAATATGTATATATGTATTTAATAACTTATTGTTGAATATAATGTGATTTTTTAATAAATTATAATTTTGTTAAGTTGTTCATTTTTTCCCTCTAACAACTTAAAATTCTGCTGGAACGTTTAGAAAAATAAAAGTCCTTTGTTCTCTTTTTATGAAATGATTTTATGTGGGTATTAAAAAAGTTCTGAAATATGGAATTTGACGATATCACTTTGTCATAACATCATTTCTTATTATGTTACCTTTTATAGTTATTCTATTCAATATAATCTTCAGTCAGATTATTGTATTGGGTCAGAATATATGAAATGCTAGTTTCTAGAGTATTAAGCAAATATAAAAAAAAAAGGTTTGTATAATAAATACATTAATATACTTATTAATTATATTTAAAATGGAAAATTCCTAACTAGAAAGCCATGAGCCTCTAACATATAGGTGAACAGTTAACCTGCCAATGTTTCGCCAATTCATACATACATACATATGTGGCGCGAAATCCCGTTACCGAGACTGGGCCTCCTCCAAGAGCCTCCACCAGTTGGCTCTGGCCTCCCTAAAGTACCTTATTACGAAACCTCAAAGAGAAGAATTCAGGCATCATTAGGACAGAAAAAACAATAACACAGATATGCAGAAACAAAACAAAAATGCAAAGGAAAAAGAAAAAAAAAATTGCTATTGCATTTCATAAACACAGCAGAGAAAGGTTATATTAAACAGATGATTAGCAGGAATAAAAGGGAAAAGATATGCATACCTAAAATATGATAATACTAAAATATGTTACTTAAATTAAATAATAAAAAAAGAACAAATTAATTAATATAAAAGAAAAAGCTTTAAGATGTATATAGCATCCATACCTAACAGAGCTCAGAGGATACTCGACAAATAATGTTACTAAAATAAGCATATAACTCGAAAAGAGACATACATTGATTACGTTAAAAATGGAAAAATACAAACTATAAAGTCATGAGTCTCTAATGTGTTTATGGAACCTTCTATTTCCTTCAGTATGCATTTAAATGGCTTTGTGAGATGGCAATAGCAAATTTTTCTTTTTCTCCTTTTTCTTTTCTCTCCCCCCTCCCCTTTCTGCATATCTGTGATCTTGTTTTTCTGTCCTGATGATGCCTGAATTGGCCAAATGTTAGCAAATTGTTCACCTGTATGTTAGATACTTATGGCTTTATAGTTTGGAATTTTCCCTTTTTAACATAATCAGTGCATGTCTCTTTTTGAGCTATATGTTTATTTAAGTAGTACTTATTAGTAAGAAGTAACCAAATAGTTTGAGCTAAACATGAAATATATTCATTTATAGAAAAATTAAGTTGATCAATATATTCCGTATGAGGAAAACACCACATCAGATTAAACTTAGACAGAAAAATACAGTGAATATACATTTGAAATTTGCATGAACATGACACCAACAACTTGTTCATATTCTTTGAATCAATAAACAATTTTTTTGTTAACTTCTTCTTTTTTTTTGAAGAAGAAAAAATAAGGATCTAGTTTGATTTAAGAAATATACCTTCTTCTTTTTTTTAATAATTAAAAAAAATATTCATTAATTGAGCCAATAATGCTACTATTTCGAGAATAAAATAATTACTAGGTCACGTAAACTGTTAGCAGTGTAATTTTATTTTGATTACTGAAGTGTTTTATTAAAAATTTTAGCCACAAGTTTCTGGAAGTCTTTCTAGACATGATGTTAGCTGATGAAGTAAATAAATACTGGTTATGGCAAGAACTATAATATATTTTAGTTTATTGACCTATACTTAACCTTCATGACAAATTTTATCCTTTCTCATTTCTGGATTAAGAACTTAAGCACAGAATTATATGAAACTTAGCTGAATAACCATTTTCTTATTTTCAATAAATAACTCCAATGATAAAACAAATACATGGAAGAAAAGATAAGGTGATAATTTCTTAAATTTTGGAGATAACATGAGATTAATCATATTTAGTTTTTGCCGAAGTTCATATTTCACTTTGTTTCATATTCATAAATAATTTCTAATTTAGTATTCAGTTATTTCATGATACTTCACTCAATAAATAAAAAAATACCAATTATTATTGAGATTTAGGCCTATATAGGCCTATTGGCCTCCATGCATTTCTTTTTAGCTGTTGTGGATCTGAATAATATTGCAGTATCATATTTTATTATTCAGTACCTAGTACAGATGTAGTTTTTTAAAGTTCTGTCAAATGTTACATAAATGAAGAAATATAAATAATATTTTAATTTAAATGTTTAATAAATCTGACAAAGTGATACTCTAAATTGTCTTTTTTTGAGGCTGTGTAAAAGAAAAAAAATATTGATTTTCTCAAAATAAATATTTTCTTTACAAAGTAAAATTTAATTAAGCTTAGAATGAAGCCAGTGTCTGTGATTTTTTCGAAGGATTTTTTTAATGATACAGTAGGATGTTTTATCTTCATGATATCTGAAATTATTTACAATTTTATATGGTGATGTAGTGATGAGTTGAAAAAAAAAGAATTATGTTTAGTTGTAAGCTTACTCGCTAGATGGCATCACCTACTATTTGTCTGGAAGATCTGCATAATATCTTAATGCATTCCTATCTAAACCACAACCCAACTCACTTATATTTTTACTAACTTACTTAGCAGTAACATTTAACAAATAGAAAAAATGTTATGTCCATGAACAACTAGTTACTTTTTCAATGATAAAGAAAAAAATAAATTCACATAATTTTTTTTTCAGTAATACTAATTACTACTTTTAAAATTCAGTACATGTACAAATGAACCCAAAGAACAGTTTTATTTCTGTACTTAATGCAGATGCATATTTTTATTTTTTGTTAATCTTATTAAATTGATGTTTCTATAGTCTAGTAGGTAACTACGTTTAAGTGGCACAGAGTGGACTAAAAGCATAATTTTTTCGAACATAATTCGGTAAGTGATAAATGATATGAGGTAAGTAATAATTGGTTATTGATCTTTATCCCTTTGTTCATTCTGATTCGAACGAAAGGTGAATCATGTTCATATGACTAATCCTAATTGAGAAGTCAAGAGCGCAAATAACATAAAAAACACATATTATATATACATATGATTGCAATATTACTGATTTTCATGTGAAGCCCAAAACCCTGATTGTAGGGTACATTTTGTGTATGTTTTAATCAATGTTCTGAATGTGAATTATTAAACGTTTCTACCCTGTGAGGTATGAAATTATAAAAACAAATTTAAAATTGGAAAGAAATCAGGCAAGGTGGATATTGCTAACATGGTCAAACATAAACTTTTCATATTAAGATATTATTTGGAACTAATAAGGAAAGAAAACATATTGAGTAATTTATCAGGATCTAAGTGTTGCATCATCATATCAATATATGTCACCAGCTATTATTTAAAAAATTAAAAATACTATTAAACATTCTTCAACGGTTTCGTGTTTATTTGTATGACGATCTGTCTCCATTAAAATCCATGTGATAGGCATATCATCTGCCATAGTTAATCCAATTTTCACATATTGTGTGTATTGGTAAGTAAATAGTCCTAATTAAGTTTTATCAAATCACATCCACTATTTACGCTTATTTTCTCATTCGATTTTATCCAAATTTGGAGGAAATTCGGAGAATATAATACAAATGGTGCAATATCAATTTAATCAAATTCCAATCATCGATTAAAATTAATGTACACAATTGTTAAGAATATAATCCCTGCGAAATGTGAAAGGCAGTGAAACTATAGAAAGTGAGGTTATATTATTATTATATAAGATTATTTATTGTTTTTCTTTAAAATTAGATATAACACCTACTGCCGTTAATATGATTTGATGAAATTTCCTGGGTTTGTTAGGTTTGGTAACCTAGATGGTCCAATATCGATTTATCAAATCTCACCAATTTCTTACACTTAATCGTATGAAAGACTACTCCGAAAACAGCTTCTCCTGTGGATTTCATTCTCAAATGGTAAATTATAGACATGGCATATTATGTAACTAATAGAAATGGTTAAATAAAAAATGTGGTGCAGACATTACACAACTTTCACTTACCAAACTACTCTGAGAAAAAATAGGTGATTTTTATAAGTATTGTACAAATCGTTTGTGCTTATTTTGGCAATTGGGAAAAATTCTGATTAGTCCTGTTTGAAGAAAAAGTAGTTTCTAACATCCCAGTCATATACCTACCTATCTTACGTAATTTCAGTTTCGTACAACTTTTATTTTTCCAGCGAGGCTGTTCACACACACTCAGATTATTTTGCGAAACTTGGTTATTTGGACTCAGGAGACCTCATGGATAATTTCCACGATCGCAATAGTTTAACATACTATATATTATATATGTTGGTATTGGTGAGAGGAACTAGTATAGCAAGTGGGCCTTGTGGTCTATTTTGCCAACTCCTGACGGGATTTCTGCCGCATACTTGCCAGAGTGGGAATGTCAAGATTCATTTCTTGCGACCACCGAGAAATAAATATTAACCGATCTAGGTGGGAATCGAACCTAGAACGTTGAGAACCGGGTACTCAGGGGCCCACGCCCCAACGCGGTCTATCATCAATCGTCCTCTCATATATATGAAAGTGGAACTAAAAATATTTGTATTGTTATAAACGGGTAATGAATTCAACGAGAGACAGAAATTATATGTTAAGTTGTAATTGGAAAAATCCAACTACTCAGCCTTGTGTCTCTAAAATGCAGGCAAAGGTTTTAGATAAGATACATGCAGATAAGATAGCAGTATGTGTTTGGATGTCATGGTGTGATGTGTCTCATTTTTTCCGCCCTGATAATACCTGAATTGGCGAAACTTGGACGGGTTAGTTTGTTATTAGTTAGTTCTCTACCTGAAGTTAAGAGAGAAACAAAGCTGTTTGGATTTTTCCGATTATATCTAAACTTCTACCATTGTTTGAGTGTTTTTCTTTTACCTTAATTCAATGAGCAAAATGTTATGAAAGTGATATTTAATTTGAAAGATAATACATAAAATACTGATGTAAAACGTGA